TCATCAACCAACTATTTACTTCTCTATTATATATTTTTATTATTTAGATCTACATTGTTTAAAATTTCTCGAAGTAGTCGTATCATGATTACACCAATTAAAATTTCTATGTGAAATCATTTTGTTGTTGATTAATTTGACTTAGATATTTTGAAATCTTTTTTGTTATGTGTCATATACAAAAATGGTGTATACTGTTAGGAAATATCATTGCAACTGTATTTGTTATGGCCTTAATCTGTTATAATTGTATGAGGTGTAGCTCCAAACATTGCTTCTTGTAAAGTACGAAGTAATTAACCACTAGAAAGTGTCTTAAGTTTCATCAAGCAAAATAAGATTTTTTTGGGCCTCAATTTTTTCCTTTTTGATCGCCAAATTTTTTGACTATTCAGAAATGCACGTTTATGATTGTGCTCAACAACAAGCCTACAAATAACCCTTTTACCTTCTCCTTTCATTTATATATATAACAACGCTTTGTATCCTTCTCTGAGTTTATCTTGTGATTTCTTTATGCTTGTATATGAGAAAAGAATTTAAAATTTGTTCAAAATGCATGACAAGATACCGCTAAGTAAAAGAATCTTATCAAGTTCCACAACATATGAAGCTTGAAAAATTATTTCTTAGAAAGGTTCACAATATTGTTTGATGGTTTGAAAGATTACTTGAGATGTAATTTTGAGGAAAATCTACAATAAATATCATAATTGTAATTAACTTTGGAAAAATAATAATTTGGTTACAAGTAGGACTCAACTTATCGTTGATATTCTTTTTTTGGGTACATTGATGAGTCCGAGATTTAGACTCATTTAGGGTTTTAATTATATAGATTTAGTGTCCTCAAATGCTTATTTTGTGCCAATAACTGATGTAAAACTCTTGATTTCCAGGTATATGGATTGAGGAACAAAGCAAGGACACTAATTTGCAAAAAGGAACAAAGCGAGCTGAAAGAATGAAGAAATGCAAGCCTGGTGAACGCCAAATCAACTTGGCGAGTCACCGAACGGCTACTTGACCGCCTAAAGTTCCAATGTGCTAAACCCTGAAGGAAAGAACCAAGTTGGCGAGAGAAAGGAGCAGTGACGATCGTCGAGTAGTTCCGCGATGTAGTGCTGGATTGCCCAAAGTCACAGACCTTGAGGATGCTGAATGCCAAGGCAGAAGGGCGATAGAAATGACCAAAGGGCAGCTCGTCGAGTGGTTCGGCGAGCCCGACTTACTTCGCCGAAGTGACTCTTCGCAGCACATTTTTGGCGACTATAAATACATTTTTGAACATTTAGTTTAGTATCTATTATCTATCTATTATCTGTGTATCATCTATCTATTATCATAATTTTATCATAGTTGAGGACTGAGACAAGTTTTCTCTAGTTTTTCCTAAGCTTTGAAGAATTGAAGTTTTTCACTTTTGAGAAATTGAAAGTGGGTCTTTGAGATTCTTCAAATTGGAGCATTGTAAGGACGAACCTACTCTTACCCAGTTGATGGATAATCAATTTGGTAACGGTTTTTACCTTTTTATGATGTCTAGCTAAAACTCCAATTCTTGGGGTGTGATTATGTGATTATGGGCTAATTTAGTTTATGGGTATTGCAAATTGTTAGTTTAAATGATATTTGGAAGTGAGTTCAATCATTAATTGTGGTTTAATTTAAGAATTGTAGTTGCAAATGCAGTTTTACCTTTGTGTTTTTGGTTTGCTAGAAAGAGAAGTTTTAAAACTAAACTTATTGATTGATGGTCTGTGGGTATTGGGTTGACCCGGGTTCATCTCGAGACAGTGAATCATAAACCCAATTCCACTTATTCAACTCGAGAAAGTGAATGAACTAAGGTGTGAGTTGTTCTTATTTTGCATGCTTGTTGATGTTCGAGAGAAATAAACTTGATTCGGGGTAAATTATTCAAGGGAAAGTTTATCTCCTCTATAGCCTAACTTACTCACTAATATCTAGCTATTTTCTAATAGTTGCAATTGCCCATTTGTTTATATTAGCCTATAACCTATCACATCCCAAGAATTCATCTCATTATTGTTATTTCGTATTGTTTGTCCTTGTTTGTAGTTGATAATCAAAACCAAAATACCCTATTTGACATTCGTATCACCCCCTGATTTGAATGATGTTTTTATTCGATAATTTTTATTCCTATGACTGATTTGAACATGTCCATACTCCCAATTGAATCTGATACACGTACCGCTCCCTGTGAGATTCGACCCCAACTCATTTAGTTGGGTTATATACTGACTAACGATCATTGAAGCTTAGAATTGGATGAAATGTCTTTGATATCGTTTAATCAAAATAGCGCCGCTGTCGGGGAGTGGTGTTTTTTGAGATTTTTTTTGGTGAAGTTGAATTTTGTTCTTTTTAGTCATAGTTGAATCTACTTACTTTCAGTTTTGGTTTGTGTGTTGCTGTTAAAACAGAGGAAATGAGTGTCAGCAGAAGCAATGGTAGCCAAGTGGGCCACCAAGATGACAACGACAATCTCAATGATGTCAATGAGCCGAATGGTAATGACCCTAATCTAGTGGGTGTAGTTGGTTCCATTCGCTTACCTCCAGCTGAAGGGAACGTTGTGTTCCACATTACAAGCACCATGTTGCAGCTCTTGCAATTGAAAAAGTTGTTTGGTGGGTTGTCTCATGAGGATCCCCATGAGCACATAAGGACTTTTGTTGATATTTGTGGGTCGTTCTCCTTTAAAAACATATCTCAAGAGTTGGTCTAGCTGAGGTTGTTCCCATTTTCTCTAATGGGAGAAACGTGCAACTAGTTGGCTGAGTTGCTAAGAGATCTTATCACTTTGTGGAAAGAGCTCATTATCGCATTTCAAGTGCATGTGATTCTTTCCCCCTTCGAAGATGATGATTCTTAGGGATAGCATCCAGAATTTCAGGCAATTGTGGAGTAAGGCAATCCATGAGTTGTGGCTAAGATTTAAGATACTATTGTTGCAATGCCCAACTCATGGAATCACCGATAAGATGCTACTGGACTGCTTCTATAGAGGTCTTGGTCCTAAGAATAGAGGAGTGGCTGACCAACTTTCTCTAGATGGTCTAATATGACAACCCTATGCAATAGCAACCCAACTCCTTGATCAACTGACTAAGACCAACAAGGGACAGAGAAGGACCATGATTTGACCAAAATGTTGACTCAGCTGGATCTCTTGGCCAAAAAGATCATGGAATTTGAAGCACTGTATAACAAGAAAGATAGGTACATTCCTCCTCATGAGCGTTTAAAGCCCAAGGACTATGAGGGTGGACAAGTAGAAGAGATACTCTCACTCATTCTCCACAAAGTTGAAGAACATGACAGAGTGTTGAAAGAGATAAAAGAGAATGTCTCAATGCTGAATTAGATTAATGTTTCTCATTCCATATCTATTCAGCTACTGGAGACCCAAATGGGTCATATGTTGTCTCGTCTCTACCCCAGACAAAAAAGGGGAATGCCTAGTGATACTATGGCAAACCCCAAGAATGAAGTTTGAGTGAGGACTTGCGTTGTGCCACGATGTTAACTAAGGCGCTTCTTGGGAGGCAACCCAAGTTTTTATTGCTTTATTTTTGTTTTTGGAATAATCGTGTGTTGATTGTGCAGGTTGAAGTGTCGAATGTGTTTGAAAAGTGCAGGTTGGTGAGGAAAATGTCCAGTCGGTGACTCGCCGAAGAGGTCGGCGAGCCCGACTTGGACCACTGTTGGGCTCATGAAAATATCAGGTTGGAGTCTGTAAAACTCAGCAAGCCCATGGACAAGTCAGTGAATCGCCGAACAGGTCGGCGAGCCCGACTTTGTCCGCCGTTTGGACCCCAAGTTAACTAGAGGTCCTGTAAAACTCAGCGAGGTAAATAACCACTCTGCGTGTCGCCGAATGGTTCGGTGAAGAAAAATAATATCGCCGAAAGGGCGCGAACTGGACGGTTTCTAAAAGGCCAAACGTTTAAAATTTCAAACTATTTCATATTTCCTCACTTTTTAACATATAATCACACCCGCACTTTATATTTCCTATATTATCGCATTTTCTTTCTTTCTGGTCGTTGATCTTGTGTTCAGAGTTGGAAATCTTTGTCGCCTAGCATTTCAAATCGTAATTCGGCATTAAAGGTTGGTTTTCCGAACCCCAAACTCTAAATTAGCGATTAAACTAAATTGCATTGTTATAAATTGTGTTGATGTGTGCTGGGCCTCTCTGAAATCTTGAATATGTGATTGTGTGCCTATTGTAGTTTTGATATTGTGCCTAAAATTGCCTAAATTGTTAATTTTCCCAAATTTTGTGCTTTAAAATTGATCATAAATGTTGTGCTTGATAGAGCCACGGGGTTCGAGCACGAGTATGAGGGTTTGGCGATAGCCCAACCCTTGGATGACCTAAATGGATGGCTTTCCCCCTTTATTTCTGATACCACCCCGAGGTGGATTCATGCTAGAGCCCAGATAAAGAAGAAAGACTTGAATGTAGTTGCACGGTACTGGTTCAAATTCATCAACAACTCCATTATGCCTTCACAGAATGAGTCCATCCTCCGTCATGCAAAGGCAGCTTGTCTAGGATCGATCATCAAAAATAAGCGGCTCAACTTGGGACTTATTATTAAACAGGAGATGGCCATGAGGGCCAAGCAGCGCCAGACGTTCCTTCCATTTCCGATCCTGATCACAGAGCTATGCCAGCGTGCGGGAGTCCATCGTGATGAGAAAAGGGACATCGAGGTTACCTCCACATCCTCCATAGACATTCGGCGTATAGAGGTCGAGTACACTCGGGATGAGGCATACAAGAGGAGAGCAGCTCCGGTGGACACATCTGCGGAGGTTGATGTTGAGATGATACCTGCAGAGGCATTTTTGCCTACTCCGACCTCCGGGCCTTCAGGTACACCTGCTTCCACTTCCTCCCAGGCCCTGGTGTTTCTACTACTTCCCAGTCCACCAGGATTACTCAGCCCATGATCCTGAAGATGGGGCACTTAGTCTATTTTGCTGATGTCCGGGCTACCCGATTGGAGGCTGAGGTACCCTGGATGATTGAGAGGATCATCCTAGCTGCATTGACACCCCTTCGGACTTCTATTGATGATCTCACAGAAAAAGTCGCGACTTGTGAGTGTCGACAGAGGGTTACTTCAGAGATAACGGCTCTGAAAGCCGAGGTTGCAGATTTGAGGAAGGACGTGGACTATCTAAAGTCTACAGACTTCACTTCTTTATTTGAGGCAGCTGAGAGTGTGGGTTCTCCCGGCAGTTCTGAGATGCCTCCGGCTATCACCGGAGATGTACCTATGGAGGATGTGGCAACTGATGCATCAGAGGCGGAGACCAATGAGGAGCAGCTAGGAGAGTGAGATGCCGCCGTATATGATGATCTGGCCGACTTGGAGGATGTGATATTCGAGACCGCCTGATAGACCACCCTGAGAGACACCATCATGGTTGGGTCTAGTGGAGCCACTGTTGAGGTTGCACCGGGCACTGATGCCCCGAGAGATGGAGCGACTGTGTAGACATGACCCTTTTTTATCTCCCTCTCTGTCATTTTTATTGACTTTTTAGTATTTTGTTGCATTTGAGGACAACTGTTCTTTTTTATTTGTGGTGGGGTGAGGTATTTCCATACTTACCTCTTGTGACTATTCTGTATATATATTATTGGGCTTTTGTGTTTAAAATTGTGTTTTGATATTGATTTGTGGATGTTTAAGCTTGTGGCTCCTTGTTTTGAATGTAAATGGTTTTTTGTCCCTTTTTAAAAAAAATTCCACCCCTTGTGTGTGATTGAGGTTGTTCTTGTGCAAATTTGAGTATCGGTTATGATCAATACCGATGACTTGAATAGTGCTCTTAATCAAATAAAAATGAATACGCGGCTACGATGAGGCCAAATGAAGTTGCATAAACAATATGTGGACTTTTTGCATCTCATTGTGACTAGACGATTATCGAAAGAGTCTCTTGTGATGAACATTGCACACTAGAGAAAGTGTGGAGTCTTGTTTGATATTGGTGTCAATGCCTTGTGTGATGAGCTTATTATGAACCCTATGTGATGACACCTAGAATTTGCCCCGTTGGTCCGGTTGAATAAGTGATGCAAGCTCTTGAAATGATCTTAGGCAACAATTTTGAAGAGTGAAACAATTTGACAATATACCTCTTTTGTGGCCAACCTTGCGAGTGTATGAACTTTACTTGAAACCTTTTTTGAGTCTTATCCTTTTCTTGGAAGAAACTTTATGAAATTATAACCCTTCTTTGTCCATTCACCCATAATCCTCATGAAGTATGGTTTGTTTGAATAGCCAATTTAGGCCAAAAGCCTAAGTTGGGGATGTGGTGAAAAGAGAAGGTAAATCCAAAAGTGTGAAGAAGACCCCTTGATCCATGGTTTTGAAAAAGACATAACCCCTCCATATGAAAAAAAAAGAAGAGAAAGAATGAAAAAGAAAAAGAATGAAAAAGTTATGAAATAAAAGTTGTGAAAGTTGCAAAAGAAATGGAGTGTCCAATATTCTATTGGAAGTGAATAATGGGGTGAATTTTGAGCACAAGTGAAAATGTTGAAGAAAAGGAAAGAAAGTGTTGCTCATACCACATTTCAGGAGGAGAGCAACCATTGAACCTAAATGACCATACCTTTACACTCAACCCCGTTACAAGCCTTGAAAAGACCTTTTTTTTTATCTTGAGTGAGCTGAAGTGAATGTTGATTGTAAAATAAGGGGAAACCTATGGGTGAAGTCATACAGTTATTCATCTTTGTCAGTGTGAGAGTTGTATGCGATTCCGAAACTATAAGTTGTTGAACAATTGTGTGTGAATATGGAATCATTCTTGTTGTGAGGGCATTTGAGTACCTTTGTTGAGCTTGAACTTGCATTTGAAGCAAGTATTGTGAACTTGAGAATCTTTGATGAAGGTGAGTCACAACTTGAATCTTTGAGTGCACAATTGATCCTTGCATGAGTAAGTTGAGTCTTGTTGTGTGCATTTATGATTGAGTCTTGTGTAGCACTGTTTGAGACATCATTTTTGAACTGCTGAACTTGAGTTTTACTTGAGGACAAGCAAAAGTTTAAGTTGGGGGTGTTGATGAGTCCGAGATTTGGACTCATTTAGGTCTTTAATTATATATATTTAGTGTCCTCAAATGCTTATTTTGTGCCAATAACTGATGTAAAACTCTTGATTTCCAGGTATATGGATTGAGGAACAAAGCAAGGACACTAATTTGCAAAAAGGAACAAAGCGAGCTGAAAGAATGAAGAAATGCAAGCCTGGTGATCGCCAAGTCCACTTGGTGAGTCGCCGAATGGCTACTTGACCGCCTAAAATTCCAGTGTGCTAAACCCTGAAGGAAAGAACCAAGTTGGCAAGAGAAAGGAGCAGTCGGCGGATCGCCGAGTAGTTCCGCGATGTAGTGCTGGATCGCCCAAAGTCACAGACCTTAAGGATGTTGAATGCCAAGGCAGAAGGGCGATAGAAATGACCAAAGGGTGGCTCGCTGAGTGGTTCGGCAAGCCCGACTTACTTCGCCGAAGTGACTCTTCGCAACACATTTTTGGCGACTATAAATACATTTTTGAACATTTAGTTTAGTATCTATTATCTATCTATTATCTGTCTATCATCTATCTATTATCATAATTTTATCATAGTTGAGGACTGAGACAAGTTTTCTCTAGTTTTTCCTAAGCTTTGAAGAATTGAAGTTTTTCACTTTTGAGAAATTGGAAGTGGGTCTTTGAGATTCTTTGAATTGGACCATTGTAAGGACGAATCTACTCTTACCAAGTTGATGGATAATCAATTTGGTAACAATTTTTACCTTTTTATGATGACTAGTTAAAACCACAATTCTTGGGGTGTGATTATGGACTGATTTAGTTTATGGGTATTGCTAATTGTTAGTTTAAATACTATTTAGAAGTGAGTTCAATCATTAATTGTGGTTTAATTTAAGAATTGTAGTTGCAAATGCAGTTTTATCCTTGTGTTTTTGGCTTGCTCGAGAGAGAAGTTTTAAAACTAAACTTATTGATTGATGGTTTGTGGGTATTGGGTTGACCTGGGTTCAGCTCGAGACAGTGAATCCTAAACCCAATTCCACACATTCAGCTCGAGAGAGTGAATGGACTAAGGTATGGGTTGTTCTTATTTTGCATGCTTGTTGATGTTCGAGAGAAATTAACTTGATTCGGGGTAAATTGTTCGAGAGAAAGTTTATCTCCTCTATAGCCTAGCTTACTCATTAATATCTAGCTATTTTCTAATATTTGCAATTACCCATTTGTCTATATTAGCCTATAATCGATCACATCCCAAGAATCCGTCTCATTATTGTTATTTCGTATTGTTTGTCCTTGCTTGTAGTTGATAATCAAAACCAAAACACCCCATTTGACATTCGTGTCACCCCTTGATTTGAATGATGTTTTTATTTGATAATTTTTAGTTCGATGACTGATTTGACCATGTCCATACTTTCCAATTGAATCTTATACACGTACTGCTCCCTGTGGGATTCGACCCCAACTCATTTAGTTGAGTTATATACTGACTAACGATCGTTAACGCTTAGAATTGGATGAAGTGTCTTTGATAACGTTTAATCATACATCATTGATATTTTCTATAAATTATAGTTGTATTAAAGTAAATTAGTGTGTTAAATATCATTAAAATTATGTAGAAACTTTAGTACACTAATAACACAAAGAATTTGTACAAAATTTAAATTAATCGTTAATCTTGTCTAAAAATTTCATTGCAAGTGCAAACGACGTATTTTTTTCTTTCTTTACATGCAAATGATTATTTGGCTAATTATATTATGCGTTAGTGACATTTTATTGATCATAATTTATGAGGTACTTGAAATTCAAATTGTTACATGGTTTCATTTTTACTATGTGAATATAAGTAGAAGAAATAATATTCGAATTCGAGACTTTTAATTAAGAAAGGAACAGAATTATCCATTGTATCGTATCCGTTGGTTTTTTTTTCATTCTTATGTGTGTATCAACAGGTGTATCTATTGTCTGTGGACATCTTTTGCAAATTGTCAGACAAGTTTGTATAAATCATCCCTTTCCAAGTGGGAAAAATGGGTTTTTGAGAAGAAAAGGAAAGAAATTGCTTAAGTTGTGTATTATCTATGTATAAAATACTCTATCCATTCATTTTTATTTGTTACTGATTAATTGAATACACACATTAAGAAAAAAAAATAGTGATATATGTATTTAACCATACTATTCCTATTAAATTATGTTTAATATTAAGTATTGGATTTTTTTTTGGAGAATAGTATTAATGATAACTTTAAAAAATGGAAAAAATAACTGTCTTTTCTTGATATGTCAAAAGTTGACAAGTAAAAATAAAAATTTATTTTATGAATGAACAAGTAAAAATGAACGGAGGGAGTATTTAAATAATTATTAATTAGTTATATAAATTAAGTATAAATATATTTTATAATAAATAATTATTGATAATTTAGTAAAAATATTACAAACATATAGAGGCAGCTCTAAAGGGGTTAGCATCTACAGAAAGTCATTGATAAAGTCAAAGGAAAATCACAATCCACACAACTATTTAAACTAATCAACACATTTTTTTTTTAAAAAGGAAAAGATATTCATTTGATTTTTTCTGTAGACCATTAATATATTTGAACCGCTTCTGCTAACATAATATTATAGGTTAAAGTTTATATTTTTCACTATCCGTATACATAATTTACAATGAAATAGAAAAAAAAAACATTATGATTAGTGTGATGAATTAAAAGTGAGATGAAGAACCCAATTCAGCTGTAAAGGTAATTAGGGGAAAATTATTTAGGTATCAATTATTGAGATCAAATTACATGTGCACCCTACATGGTATTTTGTGCCTGCCTCATGCTCATGTGTATCTTTATTTTATTTTATTTTTTACTTGAACTTTTCCCTTTTTAGTTATAAATATATGTACTATTACGCATATACTATATGTTTGTGTTCAACATCTAACACCTTAGCACATGCAATCACATTTTATTCCCTCTTTTAGTTCTCTCATTTTTATTTAGAAAATAAAAGGTATTACTCGCTCTATCTCATTTTATGTGATGTTATTTAATTTGATACGTTATTTATTTTTTTTAAAAAAAATATATGCTCTGAAATAATTCTTAGATATTTATGTAGCTATAAATTATTTTATTGACGATAAAATGAGAATAATAAAGTTAATTAATTATTTCTAATTATAGTAATGTGACATTTTTTGAGCCAAAATTGGAAGGAAAAAAAAAAGCCTCATAAAAAGCACTCCATCCTTGGGCAACAAGCTG